GAGCAATATTGTTTTAGTGTGATGTAAGCTAGTCACAAATGAATAAACTTGAAAAAATCTTCAATTTCAATTAGAATTGTAAACATGTACTAAATAACATCAACCTCACAGTCTGTTTGGGCATAATCATTTTGGAGTATAAATTTGCTGATTAATTAACCAATTATAGAGCGCAACACTCCCCGCAAATGAGTAAAATTGTTTTGTGTTAGACTGACCAAAAGAACAAAGTGGGGCGCAATGCGGCTTACTTGGTTACGCATATTTTTAATTCTGTCTTACTACTGAAGAATACTTGAAAAAAAAGAAAAGAGTTATAGCTTATTATATATATATACATACTAATTAAATAAACAGACAAAGCTGCAGCCACATAGAAAGGAGGAGATAGTAACTGCACTTATTACCCCTATTTAAACAGCCTATTGACTGTCAGCCATCTCGGCTTCAAGGCATTTAGATCTCTTCTTAAAACATAAAGAAAGAAATTTCGATAATTTTATCATGGTTTCTTTATCAGTGGATTTCACTATCTCAACTGGTAAACTGTGTTATTTTACATTTGTTTCATTGGTGGGATCCCTTTCCAAGTAATTTAAAAAGTTTTCTTGAAATGTACCTGAAAGTACACAATTTGTTGATCAATATTAAAATCTTACAGTTTGAAGTCTGAGATTTCCATTGGGCAATTGCTTCATTATACAGAAAAACAATTCATTATACAGGCAAACAAAAACATAGAACTTACAATACCTTTTGTGCAGCTTCATAACATAGATTTGGTATATACACTAGATAGTGCATCTAATTATTCTGCAACTCAAAAATTGAAGCTGTGATTGCAGACTCGGGATATTCCCATGAAATGAGAAGACTTGTATGTTTTTTATTTCTTAAACAGGGAACTTAAACATTAAGTTAAACCTATTCCAAGTAAATTTTCAAACTATTCAAATGATGAAAGTTATTGTTTTTTCAGCGTTTATTAGCGAGTGGGAAACTCCAACATGGCCGCCATCTATTCAAATGGGGGTAACCGCTGGAATATTCTTGGCTTCAATTTTACTAACAGAGATGCGCTATCTAGTGTATATAAGATATCTGTGCTTCAAAACCATGTTTGTTTTCAGACTACTGATTATGATGCAAATATTAATACGGTTTAAAACCACTTCAGTTTTCACAAATTCACAGTCTTTCTTCATTTGTTTATTTAGTTAACCTCAGTTGCTTTATGAAAGGACATCTTCTAGGACTGCCACAGCCTTTTTTATATGGTACTATGTACTATTTAAAACATGAGCAGCAGAGTTTTCATCAGATATAAATATACAAGGCGAAGCCAAGTATCTTTAGGTCTGATAAAACATGCACTGCTAATGTTTTAAATTGCTTCAAAAACTATCAATCTAGTAAGTTCATTGGCAAAGTAATTTTCAAAAAATATGTTGTGTAAGGTGAGAAAATCAAAGTTAAAGTTTATGTAAATCAAGTGAAATCTATCACATGTAAAGATACGACACACTTATGATTTTTTGTTGTGTTTTCCTCATGAATTATTAATGCTTTTTGAAGGTTATTTTATAATTAATAATAATAATTAATTTTATTAGTCCTCTTTGCAAGTGAGCCTTTAATTATAAACATTAAATTATACAGGATTTGTGTCGACAACTCACAGAAAATTTTCCCACTTTTCGTTGCAGTCCCAGAAAGTGGAATATTTTTTCCACCCCTGCTGGTCATTCTTGCCCCATCGCCACTTTTATTTTATATGTTGCTGGAATGTCTACACCATTCTCCATGCACGTTTTCATCTGGGAACGAAGTGGACTATATAACTATTGCACTATCTCAATGCATATATAATTAGTCTTTCAACAAATTATCAAAATTAGTCTGGATGGCTAGAGAGGAGATGGGGTGGTAATATACAATTACTTTATGGTTTCCGTGTTTGGATGGCCTGATCCAAACACGCGGGAATGTTGCGAGAGTTAAGAAAAGCGCGCGAAACACGAGCCGAAGGCGAGTGATTTTGCACGCTTTTCTTAACTCGAGCAACATTCCCAAGTGTTTGGATCACGCCATCCAAACACGGAAACCATAAAGTAATTGTTTTATAAAATAACAACAACACGATAGTCTTCCGTGTTTGGATGGCCTGATCCAAACACGGGTTTCGACCAATCAGAGCACGTATTATATACATGTCATTTTATAAATCTATTTCACATAATCATTGCATGTCTGAACGGAAAATGTTGTATGGGGAAGGTCAAAATTAGGAGATAATGATTTATAATTGAATGTCTCCATACATCAGTCAAATTGAAGCATGCCCATCTGCCCGAGGCATTTTTCCTTTAATGATTGCAATTATTTTACAACTTACATGTTTCTGAATTTCCATGCAGAGAGTTTTATAAAAATTGAGCTGTGCTCCTTCTGTTTCACCTGGTGTTCTTTCAATATGGGTTAATCCATTCAGTGACTCCTTGCATTGCTTAATCAGGTAGGACCTTGGTAATACTGATCATGGTTAGTTCATGGTAAGTGGCTTCACCGATGGAAAACTTGTCGACAATATAAAGGATGTCTTTTATCTTTGACTTTTCCTGCTCGGGGAGATCTTTAAAGCTTTTGCCTTCTGATGGGTTACTGTATGCTAATGAGTAGCTGAACAGACCTTTATCGGTAAAAGTGGTGGTACCTTTATCGGTAAAAGTGGTTGACTCCAATGTTGAGCCAAAAGTTTTTGCAAACCAGAAACTTCTTTCCACTGATGACTTAAGTTATTTCAGTTTTCGATCTTGTTGCCTTTTCCCCACTTCTGTTATTTCTCTTCCTGCATTTTAATTTCCACCAAACATCCAGACCTGTCTATGTAATCCCTTAGCTCTGTATTCTCATCCAAAACAGTGTTATATTCTTTCTCCTTGTTGCTTAAAATTGTATCAGTTTTTCTCTCACTCTCTTGTAACTTTACAATTTCAGTCCATAGCTCATTGTAACTCGTTTTCAGGTTTTCATTTTCTTTTGATAACAGTTCGACTTTCTCACTTTTCTCGTTTACTTGCTCTTCAACCTCGGCTGGCTTGACAATCTCATCTCATTCTTCATTTGCATGACCTCTTAACTTTTTCCTGTTGCCATTAATCTCTCCACAAATGTTCCTTAACCTGCCCTCTATTATATCGCTTCGCGAAAGTTTGATTCCATGCTGGTATATAAAAGCATTCAAAATCTCAATGAATGTCTTGGTCAATGCCTTTCGCCTTTAAATTGTACCAAGTTTTGAAATGCTCATCAGGAATAGTCAGGCCGGATTAACCATGTGGCAGATGCGGCATATGCCCCGGGCCTCGCACTTATGGGGGCCTCTTGTGATACTGTGCGACACCAATTTTTACGAGAACCAGCCCATTTTCTATTGGGACATGCCCATTTTAGGTGCGTCACGAACTACAATCCTGGTCAAAAATGTTGGTGCACTTGACACTGACTGTGCGAAATTTGACTCCCACATCAATAACAAGCATAGCAACCCCCCCCCCTTTCCCCCGTTCAATGTTGTGTGTAGTGTGTTATTTGTCCAAGGTGTTACACAACATTGATAATGGGGATAGGGGGTGTTTGGACATGAAATTTTGCATAAAATGGACAAGTATGTATATGGTAATCAGAAATGAAGTAAAGGTTATGCTATTACGACTAAGTGCGCCAAGGATTTTTGACCAGGATTGTAGGTGCCTCGCGAATTTAGATGCCTTTTGCAAATTTAGCGACCTTGTGCATTTACGGCCCCTAGTCTTGGCAGTTGGCCCCAGGAAAATATGCAATACTCATATGCATGTAATCTCCAGTTGCACTGAACTGCTATATGGTCCTTTTTATACTTGTTGATCCATAGACTGGGCCAGACAGGCCAATTAATTCAGGTTATTTGTTCTGTTGGTGTAATGTATTCAGGTGAATAAGATGCTTGTGTGATGTTACTCTGAGTGTACATCCACACCAGGCAGGCCTGAAAAACATGCCTGTCCACGGTGGGATTCGAACGTACGACCTTTGGAATACTAGCCCAATGCTCTGCCAACTGAGCTACCCGGTCAGGTCAGTTTGAGTATGCGATAATTCAGGTTCTTCAAGCACCGAAATTAGCAAGATATAAATGTTTCATTGATGTTTGAAACCAGTTTTAACATAACGAAAAATTATTCAGAAATCCTGGTGGGGATAGCTTGGCTGCGAAATTGCGGTGATTTATGGATAAAATTGAAAACAGTTATTTAACAATTTTGTGTCTTTGAATTCAAAGGTTTTCATAATGAGGGGG